TAAAATCTGTGAATTTTAGATAGTGACAGATGTTTGTAACATTATTCTTTTTTGTTTTTCTGTGTGTTTAAAATATTTCACTGAAAAAATCAAACATTTCCCTATACTAAACAGTTTCAAAGGGGTTAAACACAGAGTCTAGGAAGAGAAGCTGCAATTAAGGGCAAAGAGGCTTGAGGACATAAACGGACCCAGACAGCACCAGTGCTCCAGAGACTGTGAATTATGCCAAAGCTCAGCTATGCATCACCTAGAGGAGAGGGTGGTTCCTCTTCAAGGCCAGTCGTGGTTATTTCCCAGCAAGAAAGATAGTTCGGATGTCAGACAACCTTTGATTTCTCTTAAAGTCAGGTAGAGTTTCTATGATTCACATTCTAACAGTGCTTGTCTTTGGTAAATCTTGCCACCCACACAGGTATGAGACTAACAGTATTAAAAAAAATTCAATTTCCAGTGAAATACAGTAGGCACAGACTACAGAACAAAATTCCTTAAAGCAAGCCAAACCAAATCCTTTTGGTTGCAAAATTCTTATTTCCTTTGTGGTCTTTTCTGACATCCAGATTCTTGTTGTTAACAGACTTCAAAAATATATCTTTTGAGGACTTGGGAGCCAACTTGAAGAGTTGTCCCAAAGATGAGGCAATTTTAGGATGAATAAGGGTAATATCTATGGGCGGTCTGAACACATCAGTAATGTTTAAATTCATGAGTGCATTATCACATACTCACGCGTGCACACATACACACAGCTAGTTGGTTACCTTGGAGATGCTATTCATTTTGAAAATTAGTAAGTAAAAGGAAAGAATTCTTTAACCTGCCTTTCCTATATGGACTATATACTACATGATCAAATAACAGATGAGGTACATTTTCTCTTTATAAATGATTTCTAACAAATAAATGAAGAAGAAATGCGAGAATGAGAATATTACTTTTTGCAACCCCTAAAGATTAAGTCATCTGAACATTAAGCATCTATAGTGGCTCAGGGCCTAAAAGAGAGACCATAGGACATTATGTGCCTCCTAATGAAGAATATACCCCCAACTCTGAAATGATCTTACTAAAAATATTAAATCTGAGTCTGACTAAGCCTCAAGATCCAAATACCGATTTATAGGAATAACAGAGAGCAGAAGAACATGTTCAAAAGGGAGTATAATCAGCAAACCCAGGCTGTGGGCAGCTATAGGAGCGATCATCATGTTTCTAGAACAAATAAGCAAAGAGAAAAACAAGAGAGATAAAGAGGAAACCTGTAAATTAAGACTCAGAAATCAAGCCTTAAAACAAAAACATGCAAAACTACAGAATTCAGTTTCAAGTCTAGCACACTTGGGCTATAAAACTGTAAGGAAAAATAAGGAAGCAAATATCATAAAGTCAAGATAGTGCTTAGTCTTTTTTTTTTATTCATGAGAGACAGAGGGAGAGAGAGAGGGAGAGAGAGAGAGAGAGAAGCAGGCTCCCAAGAAGCAGGGAGCCCGATGTGGGACTCGATCCCAGGACCCCGGGACCATGACCTGAGCTGAAGGCAGACGCTTAACGACTGAGCCACCCAGGCGCCCAAGATAGTGCTTAGTCTTGAGGGAAGGATGAGTTGAGACTGGGACAGAACATGTGTAGGAAAGTCTCTGTCTTCTGATATGAATGGTGATTTCAGGGATGTTAGCCTTATAAATCACTAAGCTGTATGAACCATTGGTTAAAGACAAAAAGCCTGTAGAATATAAATATTGCAATATAACAAGGTGGTGGGGTGAAAAAACTATAATAATACTAATTTGCCTCGTGTAGAACTTCAATGGATCTGTAAATTGCATGATTCTTATCAAAAGCTTTGAAGGCACATCAAGTAATTACAAAAACTGTTAAAAAGAGGGAGTATAGTGGCAATTATTTTCCCTTTAGCTGGAATGTAATTTAAGTCACTGGTTGTAAATACTGTAAATACTGCATACCTGCCATGTGTTATTTACCAAGAGAAGTTTGAAACCTTGTTTCCTATCCTGTCATTAAGAAACAAAACATTAAAAGATAAACACAAATCTTGATATCTTAAGCTGCAAAAATGCAAGAATTCCACACATTAGGTCATGAAAAGAACCTGAACTCTTTCTGATGATATAGGACAAAATTAAATTTCACTTTCACACTTTAGTATATACTTGGCCTCAAAGCCAAACATTGTGTATAATATGTCACATCCTAATTTATTAGTTGAAAAGTCATACTTAATACAGAATTAGAAGTAAATTAAACAGCATGCATTCATTGTTAATTGGGGAATAGTCAAGATTTGTCTCCATATATTACTGACATTAAGGAATGTATTTAAAATAAACTCTGTAATACCATAGTTATATATTTTTGCTTTAGTTCACTCAATTACAGTATAGCATAAAACTGATTTTAAAAATCCAAAAAGGATTTGCAAGATTATATATTTCTGTAAAAGTTTTCCAGAATTTTTTTTTAAAGGCAGAGATAAGAAGAGTCTGGCAAATGCTGGTCTCTAGAATAATAACTCTTCTCTTAACTTGTATAGAGAATCTTTCATAATCTGATCCCACCTGCCCTTTACCTTCTTCCCATTCCAGCTATTTTATCCCCACAAATTTCTTGGGCCCTAAAACCTCTCTGACACTAAATGTCATACCATTGGGCACCTGGGTGGCTCAGATGGTTGAGCGTCTGCCTTCGGCTCAGGTCATGATCCCAGGGTCCTGGGATCGAGTCCCGCATCGGGCTCCCTGCTCCTTGAGAGCCTGCTTCTCCCTCTGCTTCTCTCTCTCTCTCCCTCTGTCTCTCATGAATAAATAAATAAAATCTTTAAAAAAAAAATAAATGTCATACTAGTTTCCAAACCTGCCCAATCTCTCCACAGCTCTTTCATTTGCATTTGCTCTTTCCTGACATTTTTCTCTAATTCCAACTATCAACCTCCTATTCGTATATTGGGTCCCTGTGCAAATGTCTGTTTTTCCTGTTTTTGCCTGATGGAGGGTGTCAATCTCTCCTCTGTGGTCCCTCAACCTGTGTCTTGACTTCTGTTACTACAAATATAGCACCATATTGTAATTTATCCCTTAGAACGTCTGCATCCACCCAGGGCTGTCAGGTAAAACACAGGGTGCCAAGTTAAATTTGAATTTCAGCTAAGCAACAAATAATTTTTCAGTAGAAGTATATCCCATGCAATATTTGGGACATACTTATGCTAGAAATTTTTATTTGTCGTTTGTCTGGAATTCAAAGTTAACTAGGCTCCCTATATTTTTATGCGCTAAGTCTGGCAACCCTAGTCTCCACCATAAGATCATAAGCAACTTAAAACTATGCTTTCTTATGATGCCATTTTGGGGTGTGTGTGTGTGTGTGTGTGTGTGTCTACGTGTGTATACACATGTGTATGATTATCTACATTCTAGAAGGATACAAAGGAAACTACTAATAATGGTTATCTCTGAGAAGAAGTCTTGAGCTTGGAGAAACAGTGATTTTTTCTTCTGTACCACTTAACTTTCTATCATTAACATATATTAATATTGCAATAAGAATTCATTTTTTAAAAAAGATCATAAGCAAGTCGGGAGTAGGAATAATTATTCCTCTTTAGAGCCACATAATGTTTGGCATTTTTCCATAGTTTTCAGCAAATGTGAGTTGAATAAATGATGATTGAAGTGGGACTCTTAGGAGAGCACTTTGTGAAATCTACACTGCAATTTGTTCAGCAAATATCTATCGAGCACTTACAGTGGTCCATGCACTGTTCTAGCAGCAGCAATAAAGCACTTTTAAATATGCACCAACAATCTAATATTGCAGCTTTTAAATAATGCTTCCTGGGCTCTCAACTAATGGACGGTCAGGAGGTTGAATGGTTGTGTCCAGTCCTTGATTGTATGGTTTCATTTTTCTTTTTGACCATGAACCAGGCAAAGACCCACTCACTCTTGTGGTGTTTACATCCTGATGGAGATAGATGTAAAAAATGACAGAAAGTAAACAAATATGTAAATAAGATAATTGCAGATAGTTATAAAAGTGTTCTAAAAATAACCAAGCAGGGTAAGGTGATGAAGAGTGAAGGCGTCTCTGAGGAGGTGTTATTTGAGATGAGATCTCACTGATGAGAAGGAGTCAGTTGTGACAATCTGGGGAAAGAACTTCAAAGCAAATGCAAAGCAAAACAATGCCGGTGAGGAGGAGCAAGCTAGTAGTGTTCGAGAAATGGAAAAAAGACTGCAAAAGTGCCAGAGTTTCACAAAAGACGATACAGGCATATGAAAACATGCTATCGTTAGCATGCAGACAAATGTAGATGAAGACCACAATCAGAGTAACAGACATTTTTAAATCTGGGGGTGACCTTGAGCCTTCAGAAGAGCGATCGATGGTGAGTCTCTGGAGGCCGTGTGTCCTGTGCGGTGCACAAGGGGACCAAGTTCTGTCTCCATGAATCCCGGTGGCCAGACCTGCTCATGTCTCAGCATTTCTCCACAACAAACCTACCCCAGGATGGTGTAGAACACAGCACATTCACCTGTCACCAAACCACCGTTCCGGGTCTAAGGCTGCCTCTCTCCACCGGATTGGTGAAAGGGTGGTCAGTGTTTTGCTCTTGGGCCTAATTCCAGCTGCTTATTTGAATCCTGGCTCTGGGACCTTGGACAAATGGTTACTATGTTGAAGGGGACGCTTTGCAGAAAGCTGCCGGGGCAGGCGTTTTGGCACTCTCTGCTCTCATCCTCACTGGGCTTTGTTATTTCAACTCTCATGACGTGGGCGTCTGCAAAGCTCTTGCCATGCTCTGGAAGCTCTGCCCTTTTTGACTTACAAACTTTCGAGAATGGATTATACACCTCTTTGCCTCTGCTCTGTCACGCTGTTCAACTCACAATAAGGAGGAAATAACAGATAAGCCCACGGGCAAGACAGGCCTCCTCGGATCACCTGGTTATTTTTTAGAATTTAGTCTCTGAGGACAAGGTTCTAGAGGAATTGTATCCAAGAAATTTGGAGACTGAGTACCTTATTCTGCTGAGTTTATGGGGTTGTCTCCCAGCTTCTCACAAAATTCACAGTATAACTAAACATTATATATGAGCTTTTGCCTTTTAGTTTATCAAATTCTTGAAGGGAATTCAGCTTTATTACTATCAATACCTGATCAAACTTCTGTTTTTGTCCTGAGAATGGTGGAGGAAGGGAAAGACTGTTAATTCACAAGTAAAGACTTTGCAGAAAATCAGTGAGTGTTTAATTTTTTACAACTTCTCTCTCTATGCAGTTGATACCAGTTACGGATGGTTATATGTCCTAGGGAAACTAAAATTAGGAAATACTGATATTTCACATTACTAATTTCTAAATCTCAGGAAGAAGAGCCTGAAGAAGCTCCATGTAGGGAAGAGTTTCCCTTAGAGATGTCTCAAAATACTACAGATTCTAAACTGAAACTTAATCCTCAAATGTGTTTATTTTACTTGTCCTAAAATGATCTGTCCACAAATATAAAACTGTAAGTAATAAATTATTATTTTCCCAGTGTAGGAATTTCTTTTTTTTATTTATTTTTTTTAAGTTTTTATTTATTTATTCATGAGAGAGAGAGAGAGGCAGAGGGAGAAGCAGGATCCCCTCTGAGCAGGGAGCCTGATGCGGGACCCGATCCCAGGACCCCGGGATCATGACCTGAGCTGAAGGCAGACGCTTAACCATCTGAGCCACCCAGGCGCCCTCTTTTTTTTTTTTAAAGATTCTATTTATTTGTCAGAGAGAGAGAGAGAAGGAGTAAGCACAAGCGGGGGAGAGGCAGGCAGAGGGAGAAGCAGGCTCCCCACTGAGCAGGGAGCCGGATGCAGGACTCATCCTAGGACCTTGGGATCATGACCTGAGCCGAAGGCAGTTGCTTAACCGACTGAGCCACCCAGGCGTCCCACTGTAGGAATTTCTAATGTGAAATAAAAGATTTTTTTTAATAAAATGCAATATAATAAAAATTTAAAAAAAATTTTACACCTGACAATATCAAGTGTTGGTGAGGATGTGAAAGAACTGAAAGTCTCAGACCCTGCTAGTATGAGCATACACAATGGTACAACCACTACAAATAGCAGTTTTCTTACAAAGTTAAACATACATTTACCGTACAGTCATATGTATTTGTATGTGTGTGTGCATATATATACATATATATTTATATATACATGTGAGTATATATGTGTGTGTATATACCAAAGAGAAATGAAAATACATGTCCACACAAAAACTGCACACAAATGTTCATATCAGCTTTATTTACAGTAACAAAACATTGGAAACAGCCCAAATTTCCAACAGCAGGTGAATGGATCAACTAATTGGGGTCTATCTGTACAGTGGAATACAACACAGCTATCAAAAGGAACAAAATAGGGATATACATAACAACATAGATCAATCTCAAGAATGATATGCAGAGCCCCATAAGCCAGGCACCAAAGAGTTCAAACTGCATGATTCCATTCATGTGGAACTTTGGAACAGGCAAAACTAATTTATAGTGACCAGCAGTAACTGGGGACAAAAGTGGTGGTGGTATGGGGAAATTAACCGCAAAGGGCATGAGAGAACTTTTTGAGGTGATGGAAACATTCTTTCTTGATTGTGGTGTTGGTGATAGCAGTGTATACATTTGTCAAAACCCAACAAACTTGGGTTCAATATAAGTACATTTTATTTTATGTGAATTATAGTTCAATAAAGCTGATATGTTAAAAAGTGCCAGAAGAAACTATGTATGAAAAGTGCTGAAAAGATTCGGTGCCAAAAAGGTGGGGGAAAAATTGGCATGTTTCCTGGAAGAAGGATTTTGAAGAGGAGAGAAGCCAGCCCAAGGAGAGGAAAGCACAGGAACAAAGCACAAGAGTAAGGAATTCACACAGTGGGGGAGAAGAAAAGATTATTACTTTATGAAAAAATTAACTTCGAAGTAAAGTAATATTGCTGAGGATTTGGGCTCTTATTTTTATTACTTTCTCGACAGCAATAAGGCACTTTTAAAAATGCACCAATGATTTAATATTGCTGCTTTCAAATGATGTTTCTCAAGCTTTTGCTTAATGGATTTTAAGGAGGTTGAATGGTTGTATCTAGTCCTTGACCTACACCATTTAATTATCCTTATCGACTGACTCATGAAATTCTGTCATGTGCAGTCGCATGCTATAAATGAAGCTTTGTTCCTTTTGTGAAATTGAGAGCTCCCCGCCTTTCCTCCTCGCTCGTGATCAAGACCTGGGCTGCATCTTCTCCCACTGCCTGAGACACAAGTCTAACAAGACAAATGACCATGAAAAAGACATCTTGATATTCTATCAAAAATCTACATGAGCGCCTCTCATATAATGTATTTTTTTAAGGATTTTATTTATCTGTTTGACAGAGAGAGACACAGCAAGAGAGGGAACACAAGCAGGGGGAGTGGGAGAAGGAGAAGCAGGCTTCCCGTGGAGCGGGGAGCCCGATGCGGGGCTCGATCCCAGGACCCTGGGATCATGACCTGAACCGAAGGCAGACGCTTAACGACTGAGCCACCCAGGCACCCCTCATATAATGTATTTTTTAAAAAATACGCAATGGGGGGCACCTGACTGGTTCAGTTGGAAGAGCATACGACTTGTGATCTTGGGGTTGTGGGTTCGAGCCCCATGTAGGGTGTAGAGATTACTAAAAATAAATCAATAAATCAATAAAAATAAAAATACGCAATGAAACCAGATTTTAGAATCAGGGCTAGCCACACCAGCTGGGAGGTGGGAGATGATTTCTGGACATTTGGAAGACGAGGTTGCCTCTTAAAATGTATCCTTTCCCCTGAGTGGTAGTCAAGAATCTGCAAGAAAGTGCCATTCCTGTAACTTGAGGCATTTAGGAGACTTTAAGGTCCCTTGGGACCTGAACATTTTAGCCTTCTAAATCAGCACTTGAAAACTTAAGGTTTAAGGGCTAAAACAGACCTGTATATGAGTCTTACTCAGACCTCCTAGTGTTACATTCGTGTGCATGTGTGTGTATATATACATATATATATGGAATGTATGTGTGTATATATACATATGTATTTAGAAAGAGTATGAAAGACTCAATGGTGGTTATCCTCTCTAGCTCACCTGCCCAAGTAAACTCTTCCATTCACTATCTTTAGTCTTTTCTTTTTTTATAATTTTGTTAGTTTTAAGAAAACTGATAATATAAATGATTCTTGCCAGATAAATACAAGTTAATTGTGTCCAGTGAAATGCAATTGATTGCTGGATCGATGAATAAATAGATCCACTTGGTGGGTAGATCTGTTTTGCCTCTATTTGGAAATGCATTTCAAAAGTCTTTATTCCCTGAAAGTCTCTGTGCGTTAAACTGTCTCTTGAACTGGTTGTAACATCTTACTGGTTCCCTTATTAATGAGTTAGACAAAATATTTGACACATGTACATTTTATAGTTGATTTTATCTTTTTAAAAAATCATCTCTTAAATACACACAATTTGGGATCTCAAGAGGAGAAAGTTGAGTGAATCATTACACAATCGCTATTCATGACGCATTGTCATCTTTGATTCTTGTAAGGTTCCTTTCTTGTTTGTTTGTTTTCATAATTTCCTTTTATCCTTATACATCCCAGTCTTTCCCTGCCCCAACCCTGGACAACTGTTTTCATGTGTATAATACATATCTTTTTCTTTGAATGTGTTCGTGTGTGTTTTTTTTTAATTGAGGTAAGACATATATGTTAAAGTCCATAAAGAAATTTAATCTTAGGTATAGAACTCAATCTCCATGTAACCACCACCCAGACATAGAATATTTCCAACACACTGTAAGGTCCCGGGCCCCTTCTCAGGCAGTACTGACAGGCAATACAACTAGCACCTGCCCCTCCCCCTCACAGGTCCCACCATTCAGGGTCTACCTCTATAGATTAGTTCTACCTGTTCTTGAACATATCGTACAGTATGGGCTCTGCTGCATCTGCCTTTTTTCATTCACCGTTATGCCTATAAAATTCATCCATGTAGGAGTAGCTTATTCATTTTTTACTGCTGAGTAGTGTTCATTTTATAAATATACTGCAAGGTATTCATTCTCTTGTTGCAGGTGAGAACCCAAACCATTTACATTCATATGGCTTACTGTCCACATAACATGACTCTACTATTCCAATGGCATTAACAGTGGGATTTTATTATTTTATTTTATTTTTTTAAGATTGTATTTATTTGTCAGAGAGAGAGAGAGCACAGGCAGGGGGAGCTGCAGGCAGAGGGAGAAGCAGGTTCCCCACTGAGCAAGAGGCCCGATGTGGGGCTCGGACCCAGGATCCCAGGATCCAGGACTCGATCGCTTAACCGACTGAGCCACCCAGGCGTCCCATGGATTTTGTTATTTTAGTAAACTCTTGTGCAAGAAGATTGTAAGCCCCTTTTTGTTCATTCCAGGAATTTCCTGAAAGAAACTCATTAAACAATAATTCATACTTCTAGTTGATTTAAACCCTTTGCCTTGTGGTGTCCATCAGTCCTAAACTAGTATATCATTACCCTTACCTACTTTTAACCAAGATCCTCTCCCTTATGCTGAAAGACTCACCTTAGAGCAGACTTCAAAATTTCAATAACTATCTTGCTTTGGCCCTTCCCACTATGAGATACTACAAAGATTTTGTCAAAGTCATTCTTGACTCAGGTTTGTCTCAAAAATAGGTGATTTTGGTGATAATTTAGGGAACCAGCATTCAACAAGGAGCATTTGGCTTGTTTCTCATTTTTGGCTTTTATGAGTAAAGCTGCTTTGAACATTCTTTTTTTTTTTTTTTTAAAGATTTTATTTATTTATTCATGAGAGACAGAAGGAGAGAGAGAGAGAGAGAAGCAGAGGGAGAAGCAGGCTCCCAAGGAGCAGGGAGCCCGATGAGGGACTCGATCCCAGGACCCCGGGATCATGACCTGGGCCGAAGGCAAACGCTTAACCATCTGAGCCACCCAGGCACCCTGCTTTGAACATTCTTATACTTGGTTCTTTATGGGCGTATCCACTCATTTTCATTAGGTAGATAGTTAGGAGTGGGTTTGTGTGCTTGTAGTCTAATTTACCTAAATGATATCATGCTATATGCCTCCCTTAAAAAATTTTGGAGATTTCACATAA